AAGAAAGAAAAAGTATAACTGTTTGACTTGCTTTTCTGTCTTCCTTTTTAATATTCCTCTTGCTTTCCCCCATTTATTTTTAACCAAATGAAAAAGCCTTTTCTGTAATAAAACACAGGGGAGGAGTTTGATGTCACAGCACTGTCATATGCCTTTCATACATAAATCAAGGCGAAAAAATCAATGTGACAGATGTCTCGTAACATCACAGGCCAAATGCACCCTGGATGTAAGTTCTGTTGCTTTCCACAGAATTAACAGCGGAGATTAATTTGGCCCCAGGTGTCCCTCGAGACCAGTGTTTCTTTGGGTGGAAAGGAAATCAGATAAGTGCATTGATACAGCAGGAGAGCTCTGTAGTCCATAAACACTGGAGTTGGCCAAATAATGTTCAGAATGATTTGCAAATCATTCATTGAACATGGGTGCAAAATAGTCAGTGAATACATTATTCCATATATAGTCTCTGGCCAGTTTATGGAGATGTTCAAACAGCATGGAAAAGGATTCATTCAGTAATTTAAGTGACAAACAGCTGTTCAATTATTATTGTTCACCAAACTCTGATAAATGTCTTGTGCTATAGGTAAGGGCATTCCCACACAGTCAGTCTGTAGTTTTCCTTATAGAATACTGCGCTAGATGCTTTGAGAGCCGCAGTGTATGCTACTGAAAGATTTATGCCCTGCCTTAGTTTCCAGTTTCAGATAATCGAAATTCATGGACAAGGCACTTCCCTTCCCTCCTTTTGAAAGTACAAGGAAGATTTTTTGTGTTCAGTGGTGCTATAGCCTCAGAAGCCCTGTGAGTTGCGTTTACTCAAAAATAAAACGAACTCCTAATTTTTACAGTTGTCTTTAATTCACCAAACCCTGTAATGTTAGCAATTAAACCCCATAATGTCTGCTGATAGCATAGCACAATGGATCCAGATGAATCTTTACCAACAAAACACGACTTCTGACGTTATATGGGGTTCTATCCTGATCGCCATCCACCCACAGCAAAGGGATTGCATGAATTGCAGTTTTTGTCACTTGCATCTAATTTTCTGTTTTATCTGATAGTATTTTTACCTTTGTTTTCCAGATTTTTTTTTTCCAATCCAGGGAAATCTGTAACCTGTATGCTCCAGAAGATTCCACGGAAGATGAAAGCTACATGCAACATGAACTTAATCTCTGTGTTCGCTCAAATGAACACAGAGCTGGGGTTTCATCTTGTGAAGGGACAATGTGGGGGTAGATCCTCCGCTGATGCAGTGACAATTTACACCAGCTGATGATCTGTCCCTGAACGTGTCAGAGTATGCCTTCCTCCAATATTCACTCTCTCTCATACACACAGTCAGAAAATACACTTAAAAAATCTAATAATACTTACTTGAGGCTTTTAAACTCCTTGGGGGTAGATAGATACAAGGCAGTAAACCAGTAGAGGGAAAGAAAAATAGTTAAAAAAACTAATAAAAAAATCCCATAGGAAGGAAATGAACCCAGTCCCCTCCCCCACCACTCCACCTCTGAAGGAAAAAAATTTAAAAGGGAGCTGGCCTGGAAATTAGTCTAAAGTTGAAGGTATATGGTGCTTATGTTGGAATTGTTTTCTAAAAAGATTTTTTGGTGCGGGTATTTTTCACCTCTCTCAAACATCCTGTGCCAAAAGCAGTGAAAATGTTGCAACTATTGAACTTAAATCTGGGGTCTAGGTCTGCAAAGAACCACCATTGTTGGGGAGGTGGGGGGTTGGTTGGCGGTTAGGAGGGAATGAAGGAGACCTACCATCATAGTGCTCTAAGATGTTTTTATGGAGGTTATTCAGCCAGGTCCTGCCTTTAGCTAGTCACCCCAACATGAAATATTGGAAGAATTAAAGCAATTAAGGGACATATGCTGTACCTAGGAAAGTTGGATAAAATGAAATTTGCTAAATATTAATGTGTGAGAAGCAATTAAAATAATATTTTATGGATTTTTTTTGTAGGAAAAGTGAGAGCCTTCTAAGGAATCTGGGATAAAGGAAAAGACCATATCAACAACCAAACAGTAGGACAGCAGTCAAAAACTATGTGTGAATAGTCTTGTGCAAAAACAGCTATTCTTCCAAGTTACCACAAATTCAGCACTGGGAGAAGCTGCACCATTTGCTCCAGCAAACATGGTTGGCTGAAGCCAAAAAATACACATTTTTGAGAATTTGTCCCAAATGTTGCCATTTTTTCATAAAATGACATTCTCCCCAGCTGAAAACTACAGCTGTGTTCTCTCGGCCTGGGATCAGATCCTGCAGGCACAAACATGGGTGTGCCTGGTCCTTACTTGAATGAGTAACTGCCAGTGAAAACCAAAGGTGCTGTAGGAAGTGGTATTGATGATTCAGAAAGTGGAACCTGTTATACTGAGAAAGCAATGAACCAGTGCTCCCATCTGATTTTAGGGAGGAATTCTGCTGTTGGATGGAGCCATATTTGGGGTCAAACATAAACCCTAGTTGCTCACCACTTGTGGTCATCAAGTATTCTGTGGCACTTGTTTCTGTGAGTAAGGATGTTAACTCTGGTGTCCTAACCAAATTTCCTTTTGCCATTCTTCCTGCTCAACTTCCCCCTGCAGTATCCATGTGAGAAACAAGTTACTTCCTGTTCTACCTTGTACTGTTGAACTATACTGTCAAAGAGTGATTGTATTTCTATGGTGCACTATATAATGTGACCTATATATATATATTTATATATATATATATAAAGAGCCTGAATGTCACCTCTGCTTTTGCACAATGAAGGGAACCCAGTTCTTGCAGCTCGGAGATCAAGTGTCATGTCTCTGCAGCATAATCTGCCCTTTCCCCCAATTCTGCATGGGATCATGTTCCATGGTATGTTGAGGAACTGATCTTGGTGCAGTGACAGATTCTCTGCAACACTATCTCCTCTCAGGACTGTGAAGTTCATCTTGCATGAGATAATACTGATCTGGTTAACTTAGCCAGGATTTCCCACCCCATCACTGTTCCTCAAGGGTGGGTGTGTGGGGCCCTCATATGCAGCAGCACCCAGCAGAGACTGCATAGGAGCATAGCTAGCTATGAAGGGAGCTATGTTGCAGTTGAGGCCAAAAAGAAGCACTGCAGAGACCCTCATGCAGATCTCAGGACATCCATAGGTTTAAGAGTTAATACCCGCTGCCCACTCCACATGGGGAGCAAAGCACAGCATGCAATAGAACAACTGGGTGAAAACTGTAAGACCAAATGTTTAGAGTTTCCTGTCTCCAAAGTGGATTTTTTTCAGTGTGAGGGAGAATTGGACCCCCAGATCTTGCAAGTGGATCCACATGGGGAGATCCTTGCATGTGTGGAGTCTCACTGAAACCAATAGGGCTCTGCACAGGCACAAGAGCCTGATTGCAAGAATCAGGGGGATAGTTTAAAAGTGCTTTTTGGTCCTTGAAGATGAGGTGTGTTATACAAAAGGTAAGTTGTTATTAATTATTAATTATTATTATAAGAAAACTGCTGCACTTTTTTCTTTTGGCAACAAAATGTCAGGGCAAAATAAACCCTTTTTTTGTTTGTTTTACAAACCAGAAAAATGTTATTTTCCCCCCACAGGTGGGAAGAAATTTGTCTTTTGCTTCAAGTTACAGGGGAAAGAAATATAGAGAGAGCTGAATGGCTAATGTATTCTTACTACAAATATTAGGCAGACTATAGCTCCTAAGGGACCTGACCTAATTGTCTAATAAAACTGAAATCATTTCAAGCCGAATAGGACATGCTATGTCTGTTAAGGGGACATGATGACTGCCTTTCCCTGGAAACTGTTAGTAAGTGGAACTGGAGAATGATTGAAGGGAGATCTGGCTAGTTGTACCAATGTGGAGCCATAAAGCTATCCTGTAACTAGTACTGTCTTGTTTCACATGCAGTGTTGTCACTAGCTGCAGTATGGCCTGGTGTCACAAGCACATCTGGGAACCATGACCACCTGTGTCTTAATCCCAGCTCTGACACTGACTTGCTGTGTAGAACTGGGCAAGTCACTTAGTCTCTCAGGGGGCCGATTCATGGTTCCCCTGCAGTCTGGTGGAAAGTGGTTGCAAGGCAATTGCATGGGCTCTAAAGGGAATACATTTAGTGCAGGAAACATTCCCCCACCGAACACACAGCTGGCTCTGGGCCTCACCTCAGGAGCACCCAGTGCAGCAGCCATGTTAGAGGTAGGCAGGGGGCAACCTATGCAAAGGAAGGGTGGGGCCAGTGCAGTCCTATGAGCCTGCTGCAAGGTCCACAGGGCAGAGAATTTATTGTAGTGAGGGTGCAAATTTGGGTCCTCAAGGCTGTCCTACCCAATCCTGGCAGCTGAACCCAGGCTCTACACCAGCACCGAGGTGAATTTGACCCTTTGCCTGAGTTATGTCAGTTGTGAAATGGGGATAGTGATGCTCTGCTTTCCTGTCTCATCAAGGTGTTGTGGGATCTGCTAGCTGAGGTATGTAAAGTTCAGAGGAGACACAGAGTAAGCTCTGTATATAAAGTTGTCAGGTACTAGTCTCTGTCAAAACATCTCACCTTCCACCTCCACAATACTGCTCTGCAAAAGTCCTGCGCCTGCTCCCATTAAAGTTAATGATAGGATACATGCTATTGACTTCAGCGAGACCAGGATCTGGCCCAAAGAGAGTTACTGAGCCAACTTCATACCTATTATAAGGCGCTGCTGGATTAGAGAAGTACCAGATGGGTGGTTTGGAGAGAGTTTGTACCCTGCAGTTTGTCTTTTCTGTTGCCTGTTCCTGACCTTTCCAAAAGTATGTTAAAATGACTACAATCCAAGAAGGCATATTGCATATAAAATGAATGACAGCTCCTAGTGCCACCAAGAAAATCAAACCCTTTGTTTATTTAAGTTTTTAAAAAAATACATCTGGGAGGAGAAGTCACTGGGTTATAAATGAGCTCCCTGGCCACCACCAAAAAATAATAATTATAATAAAAATAATTGTACCATATTCCCTGATAAAGCAGTGCCAGAAAAGCTCTTGGGGATCAAGTTTTTGTCAGTCCCCAGCTTTTACCAATTTAAATTCTTGGCAGCATATTAAAAAAAATGTATAAGGTATTTGAGACTGCAATCCCTCAGGTACTAAATCTAGTGTTTCCTGGCAATAGATGAATGTTCCTGGAGTTAAAATCTAGCACCAGAGCACCAGATCTCCATAGCTGTTCATATTTATACTTAACAGATAAATATGTCATTCTTTCAATATTCCTTTACACAGCCAATTTTTTCTCACATACTGTATTTTTTTCTGATAAAAACAGAGGTTAGAAAGTTCTTACCAGTGACTGACATCTTCCTGTTTTGTTTGCTTTTCAAGTTGCTGGGATGCATCTTTTCTACTTGGAGATTCCCTGATATACAGTGCAGTTTGATTACAGAAGACCAGGTTAGTAGCAAAGACCGAGATGACAGTACAGAGTCCTCCAGATTTAAAACTGTCCTATCAGTGAGTCTGCTTCAGCAATATACACCAATAGTTCCCTTGCAGACCCTTGGCTTTTAACATAACATTATGCCATTGGCACGAAAGAGGAGCCTGATTCAAACCCCCAGATCTGAGTACTCTTGAGTTTTGCAGGGAGTTCAAAATTTGAACCCAAATCTGGAGCTAAATTTGGCAGCTGGCCCTGATCTACACAATAGACCAAACCAAAACTAATAACCCAAGTATTCCTTCACCCCAACCCCACTCCCTTCCCTGAACTTTGGTGTTTTCCAAATTGAGAGCCAGATCAAGTGTGGTAGCTTGGCCATCCCTAATAGGGACATGAGAGGTTAATATACTGCACCTATGGGTCTAGGTGCCTCTTGCTTGTGTCAAGTAAAGCCCTTTCTTTTAAAATGTATTTGTTAAACCATAACAGATAAATAAACTGTATTTCACTGCATGTGATAAATGCATAGCTTGTTTGCAAAGGGCAGAGATAATGGCCCAGATTCTCTCCTGCACTGAGATCCACCCAGTGTAGGAGGGGGTAGAGAACTATCAGGGACCCAGTTACAGCTCCCTTATATATTGGGCCAGTTTTTACTGGCTCCCATCCTGGGACCATGTGCTAGGTGGGCATTACACTCGAGCCACATGTCCTTTTTGCTCTTCTTTATCCCCAGGCCACCCTACAGCAAGCCTGCACGGGGGACTAGTGTAAGAGCCAGCTATGCCAGTTCTAAGCTTATTGAGGACTCCCCCAGGCCCAGGGCCTCTCCAGATGGAGAGAGACAGCATCTTTCCACTCCCTTTCATCACAGGATCCGTACAGAGGGTGGCGTCAGTCCAGAGGGTCTAGACCGGTAGCTTTATTACTAGACACATAGCTTGACCCTCCAAGGGAATGGGAGTATTGCCATACACTTCAATGAGCTCTTGATCAGATCCATGATGCATTAGATAAGAAATGCACTAGCTTTGCCACAACCTTATCACGTAGCCCAGTGAACCAAGCAGCCTCCATAGATGTGTTTTAATATTGGTGCATAGGCTTACACTCTTCTGTGTTGTTAAAACTGCTTACATACACACACACAATTAATTACCCCTTGTTCCTGTAAATTCCTGTATTTTTAAAGGTTCAGACTCAATTTTTTTCCTGTTGTAACTCAGTGACTTCACTCAGCTGACACCAGTGATGAATTTGGCTCTCAATGTGCAATGACTGCTTCAACCAAAATATATATATATATATGCACCAACATCATGTGGACATAATCTCCCCTAGCTTTGAGGGCAATAGTTAATGTGACCTATTCATGCAGGGCATTAAGTTTTCCCTGTAAAGAATAATGAATTCAACTCTCTCAGCTTCAGTGTGTTAACAATAATTAAACAACAATAAATGAGAAGAGGCAGCAGCTACAGTGTGCAAAATCATTCATACATTTCAGCTACATAGCTACTAAAGCACCAAATTCTGCTCTGCTGCACACCCTAGTGAAGTCAGAAGAGTTATCCAAGACAAGTCAGGGCAGAAAGGGACTCAGATTGTAGTTCATGTCCCTTCAGCAGAAATATTATCCAGCCTTTCATGTTGTTTGAGATTCCCAGCACTAAATAAATGTTGTGGTCTGCTGGGTCCTCCAAAGGCAGGGAAATAGAAGCACAAGGGTTAGTCCCTGTCTCTCGGAGATACCGCAGGCCAAAATTTGCCTTGAAATCACACAGGCCCCTCCCTCCCATTGACCTCAATAGGAATGGCACATGAGCATCTGAATGCAAAATTTGGCTCTTTGCATATGTTTTCCTCCCCACCCCCCTCTCCTTTTATTGTTTTGCAAGAGACCTGTTTTTGCAAATAGGAGAGAGGGTACATGTGTGAAATTGAACTGGGGGGTGAGCGGTGGAGGTGAAGAGAGGTTGGGTAGGAGGGGGCAGGTATGTGTATTCTATTCAGCTCCTTATCAATAAAACCCATTTGGGGGATTGAACATGAACCTAATAATCAGATCCTGCTTAAGCTTGTGCTTCCCCGGTAATTGACTCTCGCATATTGATTAAGATGTTGATGTGTCCCAGGATTTCTCAGTGGTAATGCAGCTGAGACTGGGCCTCCTCTCCTGGCAGTTCTCAGCACTCACTGTACTGTCACCACACTCACTTTAATGGATAAAGCTGTCATCCTAAAGCTAGAATGTCTTGCAGGCACATAGACGAAATTAACTGTTCAATAATTTATGGGACATGGAAAAAACTTTACCCAACAACTTCAATTGATTGCTCTAAGTGTTTTGACTGCACTCGCCTGTTTTGCATAAAGTCAGCTACTTTGGAGACCCTGATTTCCACTTACAGTAACTTCTTGGCCCTTGCCATCATAAAAGTTTTAAAGAGCTTTAGTTTGCTTAAAGGGATTTTCCTGTACAGTGCAGTCATGACATTTTGACTTTCCCCCATAGGTTCATGAGAAATCCAAAACCTTCAATGAAATCAGACTGGTGGGCTCAGCACATGGACAGAGTAGACAGTACAGATTTCTTGTTACAGAAATATCACACTAATTGGATTAGTTTTAAGATATCCTTCTTTCCAAATCAGGTACCATTAAACACAGACTAGCCAGGGACTGGACTACTCATGGCATGAATATTGGGCTATAGAACCTTTCATCTCTAGGATGTTGGTTCAAACCCAGCTCAGGCTGGTAATGACTGAAATATATTGTTATTTGGAGGCTGTTTGGTAACATCAGTGAAATGAGCTGGTGGTCTTTGTCCAGTTCTTAGGTGTCCTATATCACAAAGAACACTGCCACTAACCAGAAAGGTCATGGCTTGACTAGGCCCAAATACTAAATTACACTCTTAAGATGGCAGAATGAGATTGGCAGGGAAGTTAGCTGTCTCTTATATTAATTAGTTGCATAAAGAACTTCAGTCTATGGGGCTGTCAGTCTGCACTTTTCAGTAGTGCCAGATACACTAAACACAAAGCAATCTCCACTATCTGCCTGCCTGCTGGTACTGTTGAGTATTTTTTCTAATTTTCTTGTCTTTTGTAATCATCATTTCTTGTTATTACCTTTTTCCCCCCAGTGAATTTGATGCTCATGAAAGTGGGGTTAGAATAAGGCACAATGCCTATGCACGTCTCTCTAATACTACTTTGCCAGTGCATTTCAGTCCTGACCTACAATATCCTCTGCATTAATAATTACCATTTCCATAGTGCTTTATACATTCGGCACTGGGAAATGTATGGTTTTTATATGGGGAAAATGTTTACGGATCCTTTTTGGAGCAGGAGTCCAGACTGGCCAATCCAAAGGATGCAGTCTTAATCCGCCACAGCAAGTGGGATGATTCAGGCAATTTCCAAGCATTGCAAAAATTACAGGGTGCCACAGAAATGAGCAGTGAATATTTATCCCCAGTTTCTTATTTTGGGGCCTAAGCCAGAGTGCTGTGTGGCCAGGGCCGGCACTGAGCACAGTTCATAATGCTGTCAAATCCCTTTACATCAAGCCATAGTTATCCAAAACCTCTCCGTTAACCAAAGTGTAGTCATATCCTTAGACAGGAACGCCCAGTGTTCGGTGATCTCCTGTTTCTCCAAAGCTTTGTTTTCCCCAAACTTTCAAATATTCAGTGAAACTTTCAGCTCAGCGGGGTGGTACTGTAAATAGAGTAATGAACTCTATGTGTGGGGTGATGTGTATCACAAGCTGATGCAGGATAGAATTAAAAATGCTCAAGTGTTTACCAAACCCCCCACACTGCTAACAGTTAGCAGACTTTCTCCTTTAGCTCCAGGGGTAGAGCCTTGGGAAAGGAGGATGTGTGTTCTAGCCCTACTGTCACAATGAAACAATAAGTGGCCCCACCATAGAAATGTTGGACTGGAAGAGACTTTGAAAAGTCATCTAGTTTATCTCTCCCTGCACTGAGGCAGAGCATCCCTGACAGGTGTTTGTCTAACCTGTTCTTAAAAACTTCCAATGACATTTAATGACTTCCCTGGGTAACTGGTTCCAATACTTAACTATCCTTACAATTCGAAAGATTTTCCTAATATCTCATCTAAATCTCCCTTGCTGCAAACTAAACCAATTACTTCTTGTCCTACCCTTGGTGAACATGGAGAACAATTGGTGCAATCTTTTGAAGACTGTTAATATGTCCCCGCTCAATATTCTCTTCTCTAAACTAAATATGCCCAATTTTTTAATCAAATTGACAACTATAAAGTGCCAAGTGGCTTCAAATTTGTTACAGGAAAAGAAACTCTCTTTCTAATTTGTTTTATTTCAGTCAGCATCTGAAGAGTTAACCTGTAGTTTTCTAGGGCCACATCTAGAAGAAAAGCAACCATGGCACATGCAATGTGAAGAGAAAATCAAAACAGAAAGAAAAAATAATGAAAGCATACACAGTCATGTTTGTTTGCTTTTCTCCCTTCAAGGTGTTAATCCTGTGTTACAGAGAATATTCCCAGAACGTTTCCCAGATGGAAACACAAGTGCACCAGCATTTCCAGCACTTTATATACTATGTTTTCATTTGCTTTCCTTTGAGAAGCTCCTTCTATCCGATCTCACAGAGTGGGAGAGGATGTGTTGATTTCCAGTTTATTGTAGCGCACAGTAGTTTAGCACAAGCCGTCAGAATTTGCAGTAGTCTCGGCTGCAGTGTGTGGTATCTGTTCGAAGTCCAGACCTCTGAAAGGATCCCCAAGAGTGCTAGAGCTGGGACTGTTTGGATATCAAAGGCCAAATAAAAAATTTATTCCAGTGTTTGAAAAATATCTGACCAAATCTTGGTATGGATTAAATCTCCCTTGCTTCGCAAGCATTGCCAATTGAGAAATGAGTATTTATTTCTAAAGAGAAAAAAGGTCCAAATTGCTGTGCCCTAAACTGATGCAGGTTTGTTTCCTAAATTATCACTGGAAAAGAGACCTGCTAGATCTCTCAGGGAGGCTGCAAACCTCCTGGCCTTTTTATCCCCTACCACCTAGATAGAAGTCAATCTACCCTTCGCACCACACAGTAGATCAATCCTCCAGTTATTACAGTATAAAGAGAACCGCCCCACTGGGAAATCAGTATGCGAGAAGGCAGCCCCAGGACCCCTCCGGCATTGAACTGCAATGTTGGCACTCAAAAAATGCAGCACATCTAGTAATGAGTGTAGTGCATGTAGCTATGTAACTGTTCTGATTTCAATTTCTGTGTCTTGCACCTTACAATTATTAGGAGTCTGCTATCTGCAGAAGTCCGCTACCATTTTGTGACAAAGAGCTTATGCTGCACGTTACGGAGCAGACACATGGGGCGCTTTCAGGAAGACTTTATTTTCATTTCCCTCCCCTCCCCGCCACAATATAAAATAAAAGTCAATCAGACTGTATTGACATAACATAACAAGGACTTGGCAGCATTACCCAAATGGGGATGTTATTGAGAGCAGAAGGATGTTTCATTTGCCTCAGCCTTGTGTGGAGCAGTCACTCTGTGATTGTGTTCTTCCCCTTGTGTTCTTCCCCTTTTTGGGGAAAGTTATTAAGAAAGTAGTAGCAAAAAAGCTCCAGCAAGACCAACCTTTCATCAATATCAAGGAAGCTCCCAGTCAGGCTTCGGACCAGGATATATGTGGGGAAGCAGAGCTCATTACCTTAGTCAATAATCTTCCCACAGCTATGGATGAAGGACCAATTTCTATGCTCTTACTGTTAGATCTATCAGTGGCCTCCCAACATGTCACATATCAGGAATAGATGAGGGTACTTAATCTGATTGCCTTCTTTCTTTTCCAAAAAAGCCAAAGAAGGGCAACTCTTTCATCACGCAAAGGCTTACATTGGCAGACTCCCCACAGGATCACTCCTATCCCCTCTTCTATGTCAGATCACTAGGAGAAATTGTAAAAGTTCAAATGTCAACAATAGGCTGATGACTCCGTCCTCCAACTTCCTTTCTCATTGGGAACAAACAATGCAGTGATCCAGCCACATGGCTGGTTCAGACAAAGCTGCCAAACAGGCAGTTGCAAGGGACCTAGTTGATGCTATCATGATGGTTATTGCTCATACTTCAGTGCTATGTGGTGTTTACTACAAGCTGCTGCAACCTTTGTGAGCTCTATAATAATGTGACACCCCTGGAGTATCTGCTTGTCTACCTTTTTATTAAAGCTCTGGCTGAGACATGTTGCCACCTCTTGCTCCTATTTACCATGAAATATCCATCCACAGCTCTTCTGATAGCCTCAGGAAACACATGCATCAGTTATGGACTGGTGGGGAATGAACCACTTAATTGTCCCTGTTTTACATGGGATTGGAGTTTGCAGCAGGTGGAAGGAGTAGGTCACAAGCTGAATCTTGGGGTTTGCAAATGTGAGTCCTAATCAAATGGTTTTTCCGGGGCCCCACATATTTTGGAATTGATCCAGTCCAGCTGCCCAAGTGTCTAAAACAAACATTTGGTTGAAGCACAGCTGGCTAAAGCTGTACACAGTTATGACTAAGATCATCCAGGCAGGGAGGAGAAAGTAAAACTTTGGCTAGTGCAATAGTTTATGGTTGCTACTGTTGTGTGAAAAGTACTCGGTATATTCACTGCAATGAAGAATTGCCTTTGTTTGGGATCTTAAGGATAGCTTCACTCCCCGTTGAGCATGCCCCAGTCTTCCCGGCTGCAGAAGATTTTTGATGATAAAACTTGCCACTTCTCTCAAGCTGTTGGTTATTTCTTGGGAGCACCTGGGATCTTAAAAACTCATTACTTTGACTTCTTTTTCAGAGGGGGAAAGAGAAGTCATTATCCACTTGAAAAGCTGGAGGAAGCCTTGACTTTTCCACTTAACCTTCTCCTCTTTGCAATGGTGCCAGAGTGAGTTGCATCACTGGTCAGAGATACTAAATTAAGTAAGTAATGAAAAATAAGTTAGGAACTCCCTATGTTGCGTCCTGTACAGACATTCCATTCCATTCAGTTCAGCACTGTCTGACCCGGGAGGGGGGAGGTTGTAACTCAGAAGGGGGCTAGGGAAGGAAGAGGGACAATCCTTTCTGATGCCTTCTTACTTCTCAGTAGTGCAGTGGCATGTGGAAGTGCACAAATGCATGATTTTCTAGGGGCATTGTAGTTTTATTGTTTGTTTGGCTGTCCTGTGAAATATTAGATACTGGTCACTGATCCTGGACTTGCAGGGCTAGTATACTGGTCCCACATGGCAAAACCCATCTTCCTGTGAGAAAGGACGTAGAAGGGTTTTTTCCATGCACACAAAGCAGGCATGTATACTCTTGGTAACAATGACTTTTATTTTTAGATGAAGAGAAGCATAAAAGAGTAAAAGTAAAGTCTCCAGGAGAGAGCACACAGAGGGTGTCACCTCTGACAATTTGTACTGAGCCCTGCACTCCTGCAGGGTGCTGAGAAATTTAAATGTGCACTACACAGGAAACAAAAGGGACTGACTGTTTCACACACCTCTGGATGGAGAAATAGAATAGTGGGGGACCTAAATGTCTTTAAAATGTTTTGATTTTGCTCTACTGTCAGGGGCCTTCGGGATTTTCCCAGTTACTGTGCAAGGCACAGAGAATCTACAAAAATGAGTAAACCAAGGTTTACCAAGCAGGCAGGCTTGGCAATCATACTGGTATCCTAGTCCTGTTCTTTTTAACATGGCTGTCAAGTGTGACTGCCAGTGGGAGATCACGGGCCAGTTTCTGATCTCAGTTACACTGTAAATCCCCCTGTAAATCCAGGGGAAGCCCACTGATTCCAAATCTGGGGCCTGATTCTGATTTCACACTGCTTCACATGGACAAATTCTCTTGACCCCAGTGGAGCTTGTCTTGATTTATGCTAGTGTGAGTGATAGCAGAATCAGGTCTCTGTAGCTTGGGGTGAACCGCTAATAATGAATTAGAATCATCCTGAAGCAAGGGCCAAGCACCAGCCTGAACTGTTCTGAAATTTAGGATAAATTTAGTATCTTTCTCTAGCTACCAACAGTCTCCCATCCCCGGTCCCACTCGGTTTATTTTTGACTCTGCAAAATCCTCGGTGAGATTTTGGCAGGTCAGATGAGGGGATGCTCCCCTCAAATTTTACATAAAAGGCTTAAGGTATGCAAAACATTATGAGGTACATCTGACCTCCACTAAGGGATCCCTCTAGGACTCATGGACTATAGTCAAGGCTGGTGAGTAAGGTGGTATTAAACTCTCTTACACCTCTCTCCCAATGTATAAAGGAATCTACATGGATGTCACACATGCAGAGGAGCTGGAAAAAATCCTCAATCCTGCTTTACTTTATATCATCTTCCAGCTCCTCGTGTGTAAGTTATGCCAAGCTACATTCCCTTACACAGCAGTAGAGTGGGGGCAAAGGACTCTGAAGGAGCTTAACTGAGTCTTACACACACCACCTCATATAACACCACTGATTTGGCCCTCTGGATCTAGGCTGGGAAGATCAGCCCAAGAGTTGATTGTATTTGTATAATGAGAGCAGCAGTCATGTAGCAAGTCAAAGAAAGGGGTGGAGAAGAGGAGGAGGAGGAGGAGGAGGAATCTAGAGTTTTCTTGGAGATATGAAGAAGGAGGAAGAAGGCTGGGTCACAAGGGTAGGACATAAAAGAGGGAGAAGACCTCTCTGAGGTCAGATACATTCTGATGAGTTTGAATAAGGTTCTACACACTTGAAGGTATTTTCTAAACTTCCTAATCTTGTTACATTTTCCCATCACTAGTCCTGAGGTGAAGTGATTTATGAATATACATACCTACACTGTTCAGTGCGAGCATCTTGATAAGGTAAATATATCACACAGCGGGAGCCTCTACTGCATACCACCCTCGTTCCTTAGAGAGAAATTCAGCGGTGTGAGCCCCAACAGTCCCTCTCTGGCACACACAGGTTGTGCAGTTTAGTTCTTCATTAAAAAAGCCCCATTGAGATATTTAAACACAGATTTCCCTGTAAGAGTGAATACACTGAATTTCCCTCCACCCAATAGTCTTCCATTTAATTGGTATAAAGCAGCTTGCCCTTGGCTACATACTCCCTTGAAATTGCACAAGAAGCCTCGCTAAAAAGGTATAGGTAAATATTTTACATAGTGGATTAGGAGCACAGCTGTCATTAACCAGAACCGGAATTGCGCAGTTGATTTACCCCTCTCACTGTGCTGGAAATGTACCCAATGGAATGCAAAGACCTGGCTCCCAAGTGCCATCTTATGAAGAAGGTGCAGTACAATTTCATTTAATATTGTGTATGTTTCCATTAGCATGAATCAATTGCTCTCCATGCTCATTTTAAGACTCTCTCTTTCTCTAGATTACAATTCTGTTTCCAAGCGTCTGCCAATCCTCACTAGTCCTTCCATACAACCCTGCAATGTTTCAATGATATAAGATACAGCACCTTGGCTTTCATTGTGTTTATACCTTGTATTCATAATTACAGATATGCTGGAGGTGAAGTGCCTTTCTCTACCATTGCCAAGAAAATGGACCTCTGTCCTCTATAGGGAAAGCCCAGCCCATGGTTAATTTGTGACCTAAGATGTGTCATGGGAGCTGGTGGCCAGGGCTGCCTGAAAACTGTGCATCTGAAACAAGAGAGTCAAAATGATTCATTTTGACTTTTTCCCATTAAAAATGTCACTGAAATCAATAGTTCCTACAAAACATTTTGATTTTGACAAAACTGCATTTTTGCTGGAAATCTGTGCTGCCGAAAATGTTTCGACCAGCTCTAGTCACAACACAGCAGCTATAAAAGTCTGTCTATGACCAACCTTCAACATGTAAATCTGTACTTCCTCCTAACTGATCCTGTCTTTTGTTTTGAGTTCTTTGCTAATAAGTAATGAAAACCTTACAGCCTTACAGCTTGTTTTGTGGTTGCAATTACGTAAGCATTATTAATAAAGAAACAATGTCAAAACTGTGTGAAACCAAACACACATTTAACCACTTGCAATAAACAGATATAAAACAACAGATGTCTCAGTTTTTGTTCTCTAATGATTTCATCCCTTGTTAAAAATAAATGTCTAGTTTAAAAAAAGAAAAGGGCTTTTATCCGCTCAAACAAATTAATTGAATCCAGAGTCTGGTACTGCAACTGAGGGCTTATTTTTTTTAAGTTTACTGCAAAGTAAGCCAAGAATTCAAGGTAGTAAATGGAGTAGCACTTATTTGCCCCAGGTGAAGCCCTGGCCCCTAATATCAATCTGTGATGGAGCCAAGATACCACATTTATATCCAGATCCAAACTTCCTCAAAGTTTGGGGGAAAAGAGGTGATTTTCAATCTGAGGTTTTTTGGTTCAGCCCATTATACTGATACAAGCAATTTACAAAATTTGCATCAGAATTTTACGAAGGCACAGTGAGGTCTTTTGGGTCTGGAGTCTTGGTTAGAATCCATCTTTTATACGAATAACAGTGTAACTAAAATGAATCTAACCAAGGACATAATAACTAGTGATGGGGCAGCCTCAAAGAGGTAGCGTTTGTTTTTACGCAACCATCCAAAGTCCAGATGATTATCTGAATGCTGGGCTGCAAACAGTGGCAGACCTAATAGGAGGTGTGTTTGTGTGTGTGTGTGTGGGGGGGGGGGGGCACGGATGACTCCACACACAACAGCTTTTAAGTGCATGTATGGCACCTTTACAAGCATATTATGCAATTGACAAAAGGAGGTGTATGACTTGTATTTTCACATAGTGCTGGTTAGTGAACCTGCCTGCACTCAGTTGGCAGTGGTAGCTCCTGTCTCACAGACTGGGCTCAGGTCCCTGCTCCGGGCACCACAGCATGAAGAGGGGAGCTGGACCCAGCCCCATGGGACTGGAGCTGCTGCTGCTGCTGCTGCCAGGCTTGCTCTGCTGGCCACTACCAGTAACTAGAGTGACCAGATGTCCCATTTTTATAGGGACAGTCCCGGTTTTTGGGACTTTTTCTTATATAGGTACCTATTACTCCCCACCCCCGTCCCTTTTTTTCACAGTTGCTATCTGGCACCCTCCCAATAACCCATTGTCCCCCCAACTCCACCAGTGGGTGGAAATCCCACTATACTATTTTAATACACTTCCCTGCAAGATTTCATACATTTCTTGGTTCTACTTGTGACAGAAATACCAAAACACTTCTTGTGGAATTTGAGTACTTCTTATTCCAGTGCTGACAGGTAGTGTAAAAGTTACAGAAAATGGAAGGGGAAAATAAGTCAGACATTTAAAAAGATTTAGGTCCAAAAGCGGGCAAGGCTTGATGGCTCAGAGGTTAGGGAGAAGTTATTATTTAACCAAAGCATCCTTAGTAAGAATATCAGGCATTCACTGAAAAGAGTCTCTGACATTAGCTACACAATATCATAGAAGTTCAATACATTTTTGATTTACCTAAAGGGTAAAGTATAGTCTTCTGTCTACAACTAGAAAACCATTTTGTAAGTCATCTTATTTATTGGACTCTATTCTCAAACAACAAAACAGCCAATAATTGAAGCAGGTGTTCAAAGTGTTGCAATTTCCTGCTTTTTTTTTTAACTTTAAAAAAAGAACCCTCATATTGATTACATGTTAATATTGTTGTCTTGGAGCAGATTTTAGCTACTGTTGCTTTGCCAGTGCTAAATATGGGGTGTCCCTGTTTAAAATGGCAGTTGATTAGCAACTTATCTGTTCTGTAGTGATCTGGACCATGATTTTTAACTTACCACTGTTCCTGATCCCAAAACAACTGTCTGTGCACTTCGCTACAGACCCTGCAAAATGTAAAGCACATGGAGGTACTTGCAAACTGCATTGTGGGAATCACTCTTTAGCCAATAGCACGGTACCAACTGCAGGATATTTAAATAAAATGTTTTCTCAAGTTGAAAGCAACTCATGAATTAGCACAATCTGCACATTATCCTCAATGGGCCAAAGTCCCACCAGGGATTTGGCTCAGATGTACTGCCAATGTTATTGTATAGTGAAGGGGTGGGGGAGCTGCCATTACTTAGAAAAGAAACTAAACTCAAAACTCTCATGCCCAACTCTGCTGATTGTTCAGGTGGAAGCTGAAGACCACATAGCAAATATATATATAAAATACTCCCTGTGTCTTTGCCAACATGACATCCTCTGGAACACACTAATGTTCAAGGTTATGTGTGAGCAAGATGGCTGCCATGTTCACCTGCACAGTAGTGTCGTCATTGCCAATACATGACCAGCACTACTCACAATTTTAATGCATTTTATGAGTATGAAAGATGCTAATCAAAACCAAATTCCAGTGTGTTCTACTTGGCACATTTAAAACATTGCTATGGAAACACATAGAACGCTCCTAGTATGCCAGAAGTACCAAGATCTTTTCCCCCCATGCAGCCACTATTAAATGCAGAATAAGTCTGTGCACTCTGCAAATACCCTCACATTCATACTGACTCTATTAAATCCCAGGTACTACCTGGGATTTAAACTCTTTTATTAAATTAAACTCTTTTCTCTGCATAGTTAATTTATAACACTCGCTTCAATGTAAAGCTGAATTTTCATCATCTGGTTTGGGAATAAAGGTCAAAGTTTAAATCTATATTTAATACCATTTCTTGAAAACTGGGTTTGTGGGTCCCTTTATGTGGCTATTACCTATCTTAAGGGATTTCATATGAAAAAAAACCCCAACCTTTGAAAGCCCAGCAACTGAGACTGACCTTTTGCTTTAACCTTCAGCAAACAGGTAAATAGGTTATTGCTTGTGTTTCTGTTTTTCAAACATTATAATTATACTTCAAAAAAAAAATCCCTTGACCGTCTGTGTTGAGCGAAGCCATGCAAATGACTTTGAATCTAAGAAACTTTGCTCTTTGACTTATAGGCTACAGGGTAAAGGTTCAAATAACAAGCTTTGTTGTCCTGTTTGCAACAATTTCTTTTGAACCTTTATGCCTTCAGCTAAAGTGATCTACTGTAATATTCTAATATGCAAATCTCAGGGTCTTTGATTGTCATGACAAAGGGAAAGTTCACAGTTTTACTTAATTTGGTATTTGATGAAGTTTTTGTAGACAACATTAATAAAAAATGTCTGCGTGCACATAGAGAGGTGTGTGCACTTGTGAAAACATGGAAGGTAGCTGGATATCTGCAGCTTTATGAAAAAAAAATTTGGGCTTTGTCTACACAGCCATTTCTATGTGCAAAACTGGAGCCTCAGCTTGAGAAGCCAGGCTGGAAAATGTGGGCTCTGTAATTCTACTGGGTGACAGTTATTTTATAATATGTTTCAAGTTTATTAAAAATAAGTCAAAAATAAAAAAACATATTAATTATTATAAAGGATGTCTGGTTCAGGGAGATTATACCTTGGTATGGATGACATATTTTTATATTACCTTTTCTTTTACACGCTTAAAATGTTTATGTAATTTACTGAGATATTATAGTATGAAAATACCAAGGACTTGACCTGTCTTAGCAAAGGGGAAAGTTCACATTTATTTAGAGCTAAATGCTGGCATCTTTAATTTGGTATCTGACGAACATGCTTCAGGCCTGGAGGATACGCAACAGTAGAATCACTGCTCTAAGATGCTCATGGGTGGTGGTGTCTCACGTGGAAGGGGCGGGGGTAGCCTCCCCGAAGTGGGGAGGGGACCTCCTCCTGCGGCCCATGTGCTGTACTATCAATTTGCGGTATTCTAGTCTACATGTGGCTAAAGAACCACAGCTGTTTCATACATCAGAGAACAAACAAACAAAGCGAACAACTCCCCCTCCCCCTCACTGTAGGACCCGAATTATCCTATCTCTGGCCACATGTAAATCCCATTAACTTCAGTGAGTCTTCTGCTGTTGCAACTATTGGGCCAATCAAACCTCAGAGCAAATTCAGCTGCGACATGAGTAGTAGCCTAAAATACACTCTGAGTGTAAGCTGATCAGAAAAAAGATGTAAATAGTGAAGTAATGTAGCCCACATTGATTTGCCCTACATCCTACTTTATCTATCACCCTCCTAGTTGCTTATTATGCTACTGACCTTTCTTCCCTTTCAGAATGTAAGCTACACACACTGAATGCCAAATCAATGCAAATATTTTACCCCTGTACAACCATTTTCTGACCAGTTTGCATCATCATTTATGTCCACTGCTGAACTTGACCAAGAGACACCCATGGGAAATGCACCTACTTTCCCCAGGTATGGAGTTGACCCTGTGTTTTTAACCCATTTTTTCTCTTTTTGATAGCTGGATGCCGCTAACAGGAACCCTTTGTAGTAGAGAGCCCTTCCCTATACAAAACTCAAACGGAAAAAATCCAAGTTACCTCCTACATACTTTAAAATAACACTTTCTAATGACTCCTTATGATGTTGACACATTTACAATGTTGATTTAAGGAGAATGGGGAGTGTAGGTCTGCCTGACACCAGGGATATAAAGTTATTGGCCTGCTGTTTAGCCACACTGAAATGACTGTCAATAGTGCCAACATTCTAGGTATTCATAACTTAGACAACAGGCAAAATGGCCTCTGAGGGAGCGAGAACCCCTTTTGAAGGCTCCCTCTTACTGCTCCTCTAAGACTGGATTGAACTGGGTAGTGGGTACGACATCCTGTAGTTATTAATATATTTGGCTTTACAGTGTCTGAACTTTTTGTGAACCATTTCAGCACAAATTTAGATTCTGTACCATAATACCTGCTAAAGATTTTTCATCCTTCCTTCCTTATTCTGGGCTGGATCTAATCAGACTGTAAATGTTTGTCAGTCTTCACATGTTCTAATTTTTTGATCACGTGGTCTGACATGAGCCTTATTTTTTTCAATATTTCTTTTTTTCTACCCTGGAGAAATTTAGATCTGTTTCTGGCATGTGTCTCCCATCTTCCTTTGTGCACACAGAAGGAAAAAAAATAATTTCATTTCATTTCTTTCTTTCTTTTTTTTAACAAAGCCTTCTTCTGTCAATCAATTACTCCTGCCA